CGTTTTTGGTTTAGTTTCATTACCTTAGCTTACGTCACTATGGAACTCTGAAATGACGAACGTTGTTGAGGCAGCAATAAACGGAGTTGATAGAACTTTTTATGATTGTAAACGAAATCAGTTTCGTAGAAGGCTTCACTAGTTGCTAGGAGAACCATCGAACCAGTCCTTAAGATAGGGTAGAAACAGGTAAGGAGTGTTGTTCATCACCTTCAACTCCATAAACTTCCGCGGATTATTTAAATTGACTTGTAGATTACCGTCCTTTCTCCAGCCTTGTCTTCCACTGATCAGTCGACCATGACACAAAATTGCGGTTAAGATCTCTAGAATGGTACGGAGAGGGTAATCTAGAATAGCTGAATTTCATCTTTACTCTGTGGGGTGTGATCAGCGCAATTTTTGTGCACAAAAATTTGAGGTTGCCATTTGTTTCAGATTGGGTTATCAAAATTTTATTGGTTGATTATTTAAGTATTCGATTGATATTTGTTTTATAACTATAATAAACTTTTCTGTCGTTATTCGTGTCTCCACTATGGTTAAATTTCTGTGGATTGTTATAATTGAAATAGACGAGTAGTATTCTTTAAATATGAAAAATTTTCTGTTAATTCTCAAAAGATCAATGAGTTAAATGTTTAATAAATTACTTTTTTCTCGTCTAGTATATGGAACTTCTGTGAGATCCCCTGAAACGATTTTCTTTAATACTTTGGTAAACTTTATTTTATACCTTGTTCATGAAACCAGCTATTTTACTTATCTCAGGTTGTGGCAAGTGGATTCTTGTCAGTTGGTTGTTGTAAGCATTCAGGAATGATTTCATTATTTGTAACAAAGTCCTTCGATTTTTTTCTTATCAGCAACCATAGATCTAGATTCGTTGTTCGGCATTGCATTGATAAGATGTTTGAAGTTTCATAGTTGTTTCTGTGTGCTGCATTAAGGAGAGTTTGTTGAGCATGCTAATTTATATGTAATATATCATGTTATATGGTAATTTCACAGCAGACAATGCCCTGCAGCGCGATGTATCGAGAGAAAAATGAGGTCATGCGGGTCACGCTATCCTGGTAGATTGTGCCATACGCCCAAATTTTCCTATATCTTCCATTGAGGGATTAGCTGTCAGATGTTAGCGAAGGGTTATCGTAATAAATGCTTTATATAAGCTTTGGTCGATGCCCTTCGTCATAGATATGGATTTGCTAACTCGTTGCAATTCTGTAAAATTTGATTCGAAAATTTTAATACATAATGAATTTCATTGAATGATTTTGTATTCTTGTTGATGTCGTATGATTTAGTAATTACTTCAGCATTGCAACTTCAGCAAAAACCAATCTCCATGATTTGGTGTGGGGGCGGGGGGTCATTGGCGGTCTGGCCGGTTAGTAGTTTGCTTTGCTGCGTAGAAGTATTGAATTCAATCTCCGTGTTTCGTGTAAATTGTCTCATCTTTTTTTGCTGCTAATTCTGATGACTAAATAATTCACTACACTGATTCTGTGCAACCAGGCGAAAATCGGGTAGCAGATTGTTGCCATGCGAATAATAAGGAGAACATAGTGCTTTGGTGTGGTCATGCGAGATATTACCGTGCTCTCTGATGCCTGAAATTTACGGTTGCAGTTCGCCTTGGCTCATCTAATAGTCGACTGAAAATCAGCACAAGGAGCAAACGTAAATTTGAACGTATAAAATATTTGTAAGGCGATTATCGGATTATTGCTTCAGATTAACGAGTTTTGTCACGATTGGCAGTGCGCCAACAACATTCTTCATTGGTCAGTTCTCGTTGAACAGCTAAATAATTGCTACCAACCTGCCCCGTTAAATATGAATATACTGTTTGTTTTGTATGATTAAACATTAATTATCTTTTTGCATCAGGTATATTAATTCTGTCCGTTGATCGTGCTTGCTGTGCATAATCAGGCTTGAATTCTGAATATCGTGTACCGTGTCCTAAGAGGGCACTATTTAACAAAACTGACAAGTGAAAGCTTGAAAAGAAAAAAGGCGGAATGAACATAAGTGTTCTGGGTAAAACTGTAGGATCGTTCTAAATGCTGTTGTAAGTGTAAGAAGAGGGTATGGAACTAAAGTTGCCAATTAAGTGAGGGCAAGGCATGTAAGATGTTAGCGAATAGACGACAACCGCTTTGCGGATCGAACACAGTGCACGCTTAATGAGAAACAAAGCGGCTGTTAGAAACATTTCCAGTAAGGTGACAAAATTTAGTATGAATGGTGGTACCATAGAAAGAGTTGAAGGGTAAACAAGTAATTGTGCGATGCAGTTGAAGTACCTGAACCACACCCGGCGTAGCCTTTGGTGCAGTGAGATGAGCAGCAGAATTTATCTGCTTAAGATCTTAAAATTATATTCTCGTTGAGTCAGAACGTTGCGTATTAACGTTAGTGTTTCAAGTAAGCTTTTCGTCTGCAAGCGTGAAATAATTCCTGTTGGGATCTGAGTTGTATGCAGTTTTGACCACAACTTCTATAGAGAGACCAAAGTGTTTAAAATGAAGGCCACGAAGCTTATGGGCACTTCTCTTTATGTAAATAATATTCTTCCATTATTTGGGACTTTTCATGCATAAGACTTTTCAGCTGTTTGTCTTCCTCTTAAATTTGGGATAAAACCTTTTGGTAATATTTTTTCGTGCTGCTTCGGTTTTCCTCTCACAACTTCACTGAAATACACCTGTTCGCATTTTTACGAAATTTTTTCTTGGTGCCAAGCTGTTGTAAAGCATCGTCTTTCCTGATTTACTTCCTATATGGTTATAATAGGCATGTATAAGTAAGCCTGGTTTACTTGGTTTCACTTTCATATCCATATTGTGCAACGATGTGTAGTTTATCATTGTTTACATACGTAGAGCATGCTCATGAGACATCCTGTCTGCATCCCTTTTCAATCGCAGAACGGGGTAGCAGAATCAAAGGTCATAATTTATCAGGTCTTCAGCTATATAATGTTAATTTTTAATGAAAATTATATTCTGCTTGAAACTACGAATGGAAAATTTGTCTGCTATTAATATTTGTCATGATGCAACTCTAATTTCGATTTTATCTCTGAACACAAACTGGTGCTTAAAAAACACTGGTCCAGAATTCAGATTGTGGATGGTTACTTTCCTTCTATAACTTGGCCAGTCTCTTACAGCACGGGCATGCTATCTCATTGCTCCGAGCAGCCTCAGTGACCGTTAAAGCTGGGCACGGTTAAATAATTGTTTTATAGCCGATCGACCCAGTGTATGGATGCATTACCGCAGCACTGATTTGGGCCAAACAAGCGATATCTAGCACCAAC